CATCAACTGGCAACCTGCCTACTATTCACATTACAGCAGGGCTATTTATATTTTCAGGGGTCTCCAGAGAAGGGCAGAGATGGAAAATGTTAAGTGTACATAATTTTAAGGGGCTAACTCCAGTTTTTTTGGACCCAAGACTGAGTTTTGAGTTTCTTCTGGGCTTAAACAAACTATGGTGATTTTGAACGGGCTTTTGCTTCATAATTCAATGTACATATTTGAGAGCTAAAACAACTCATCTGTTTGTCCTGCTGAGGCTTTCACATATGAAAACTCTCCCAAACAGGATTTCAAAACGAATTTCTCAAAAGGTGCTAATTTTTCCTACTTTAATACAGAAAGTATTACTGACATATGATAGGTATTGAGAGACAAATTTAGTACCCAACTTATAAACACCCAAAATGATTTTATTGCCATTTTTGGTTGAAGTCTACCACCATCTGAAATACAGATGTGTTTAGCAAAAGACTATTAACCATCAATCTTTAGTTGTGCAGCTATAGTTACATAGATAGTTGTTTTAAGGTTATACATCTTCTGCCAGCTAACAAAGAACTGATATTTTATGACTTAAAAAAAAAAAAAAGCCGAAGAAAAATAGTATCTACTCCTGAGTGGAGAAACAAAATCACCTAAGGAAAATTTAACTGTTCTCTATAAGTAATCCTAAATTATAAAGAGCTAATATGCAAATGGTTATCACGCCCTCACAATCCATCACCAGGAGGCTGTGCGCGGGTGGGCAAGGCCGTGTGGCTAGGCCTGAGGGTCCTGTGGATCCGTGTGGCGTGGAGGCGGGACCCCTGGCTCAGGCCTACCTCTTTGGGGCAATCCATCGAGGAGCCCCGGTAGCTGGTGGGGGCTACCTCTTGGGGTGATAGATCGTGGGGCTCCTGCACTGTGAGAGGGCACAGGCCAGGCTGGGGGACCCCCCCCCCTCCAGTGCATGAATTTCGTGCACCGGGCCTCTAGTCAGATTAATAATGATGCAGTGCAGTTTGCTAAAAAGGAGAGTCAACCCAAAATCTTTAAGCTAAATTTATTTCATATTTGATCATGGGTCCTTTCAGACCAGCATTAAACCCTACTAGTGCTAGCTTGCCAAATACAATAGAATGTGCAAATATAAATTTAGAAATTCGACTTTTCTTAACCTTCAGCCCCAAATGGCCTAATTTTTATATGGGCCTCCAACAAGCAAAGAGCATATAGCTTAGTCAGCATGAAATCAGCCAGTAACAATCAATTGTCACTTTTTAGTAACATCAGAAAACACACAAACAAAAAACATCCCACAATTCTCTAACATTTCCTTTATAACCTGACTGGAGAAGAAATATAAGGAGGGAATTCATGTGTATATGCCCTTGCTCTATGCCCTACACTTGATTAGGGACTTTTATATGTTCTCACAAATATTTATCTTCCCTCTTGCCCTTGAAAAACTCAGAAAACTACATTTTTCAATATTCCGTGCCCTCCAAATTAAAAGAAAAAGTGTGGGGGAAGGGTGTTATGATTAGAAACCAAAGAATTTCTGTGATAAATCTAAATACGTGTTTAAGATAAAATAAGAGCCTGCTATAATATACAAAATTCTTTCAAATGTTAAAAAAGTTTGCTTCAAATTACCTATACCTAATTCCATCTAACAACCCCATAAAAACAAATAGCATCTTTCAACCTGATCCCATTAAAGAGACGTGACCTCAGCCCTGGCCAGTGTGGCTTGGAGTGTCGTCCTATACACCAAAAGGTGGCAGGTTCAATTCCCCATCAGGGCACATCCCAAGTGTCAGATTCAATCCCCAGTTGGGGCATGTGCAGGAGGCAGTTGATTGATGTTTCTTTTTTTTTCCCTCTCTCGCTCTAAAAAAATATATTTAAAAATACATTTAAAAATATATTTTTAAAAAAGAGAGGTGACCCCAAGTGCTTTACATTCACAACTGCAAAAATATTACTTTGTGACTCCCCTATTTCAAATTTGTAAAATGCATTTATTTTCTATTAAGCTACTGAGGTATCTTTAAAAGCATATACTAATATGGTTTCATTTAGTCAAGTAAAAAGGCACCCAAAATTCTACAAATCACACCAAAATAAAAGATTCCAACACTGGCTAAATGACAGTAAAATACACTCTTCTTTATACATATAAACTGTAACTCTCAATTGAAGCATCCATCAAATGAAGCAACAGTGCCTTAAGTAGCTACTGTTCAGAGACTAGGACTTGGGTTGTGTTTCAAATCCTAAAATGATGTTGCAGGTTGTTTGTTTTAATTTATATTTATTGTTGAAAGTATTACAGATGCTCCCTTTTTTCCCATCGACCCCCTCCATCTCATAACCTACCCCCTAGGCCTTCACCACACTATTGCAGTGTCCTTAGGCCATGCATGCATGCATATAAATTCCCCCATTAATCCCTGCCTTCCCACTGAGATTCATCACTCTGCTGCATACTTCCATGTCTCTGGATCTATTTTGTACATCAGTTTATTTTGTTCATTAGATTCTAATATTGCAGTTTTAAAAGTTAATCATACAGGAATCCTCTGGGAAGTAAGAGATACTGAAAAAATACAATAACATTGGTTGCCAAATGTAATTTTTTTCTCAAAAGGACGCCTTGAGGTGACATTAAAATAGTTCCCTTAGCCCTAGCTGCTTTAGCTCAGTGGATACAGGGTCGGCCTGGGGACTGAAGGGTCCTGGATTTGGTTCTGGTCAGGGGCACATGTCCAGGTTGCAGGCTTGATCCCCAGTAGGGGGCATGTAGGAGGCAGCCAATGATTCTCATCATTGATGTTTGTATTTCTCTCTCCCTCTCCCTCCCTCTCTGAAATCAATAAAAATATATTTAAAAAATATAGTTCCCAAAGACACATTAAATTTACATTTCAGTAATAAAAAGGAGAATATTAAACTAACAAATAAAAGTTTTTATTGTTGTTGCACAATTTGGTTTATGTCCTAAGACTTAATTCTAAACCTTTAACCACATAGCAAGGAAAGAACATTTGAAAATAAGAGTTAATAGATCAGCACCACTTTCTAAATAGAGAAATATTTACATCTTGATTCAGTTCGGACAGCTGGGTGTTAAGGAAGCATAAACAGACAAACATGGTAATAGCTTGAGTTATAAGCAGAAGTAGAAAGATTTGCATTAGGATGACAAAATTGAAAATGAAAGTTAGGAATACTGTCAGACTTCATATAATCAAAAGGGTCAAGAAATCAAGTTCAAATAATATAAATAAATAGACAGCCATGGTCTTAGCCGCAAAAAGTGAAATGGGAAGGAAAGATCACAAACATTTTAAGGCCATCAGTCACAGGAAAGGGTTGCTTTCTGCCTCCGCTGTTTACTAAAACTATCATTTCAAACGATCATTTCCAGCCAACCTGGGTTTGAACATTGCAGCGGCACTTAAACGCTGTCCTTTCCAACGTCAACGGAACATGACGTTCTGCAATGTTTTGAATAATAAATGTCAACCAGAATAAGCATCGTTCGTATATTTCTACCTCCAAGGAACAATGGGGGGAAAAATAAGACGTTTCCTTACCAAAAAAAATAAATATGTTTTTGTAAAGAGAGGGGTAGGGAGAAAGAAACAGCGAAGGCAGAGGGAGAGGGAGAGAAACATCGATTGGTTGCCTCCCATATGTTCCCCGATAGGGGATCGAAGCCCCGCAACCTGGGAGGTGCCCTAACGGGGAATCCGGACAACGTTCAACCAACTGAGCCACAGCGGCCAGGGCGAGACCTTCCTTTCCCCCATTTACAGCCTTAACCACTCTCTCCCCTTCTTCTTCTTCTTCTTCTTCTTCTTCTTCTTTTTTTTTTTTTACTGCCCTTGTCGCAGGTTTACTGAACCCTAAACTTCTTTTCTTCCCATTAAGGGACGGGGAAGGAACAATGGTAGCAGGGAACTCCGATGACAGGGGGGAAATGCAAATGAAACATAGTGGCATTCCTCGCTGGGGGGAGGCTGGGAACTCCCTGAAGGTTTGGCAGGAGGGAGACAATCCTGATGGGCCCCCCTTAACACATACTTGACCCCAAGAAGGCACCCTTTCCGTCGGTGGAATTTCTGCTTTGGAAGCGCTCGGCGGTCTTCTCGCAGGAGCCTTCCCCGGTGCATGGCCTCCCTCCCCCTCGGGCCCCCGCAGCAGGAGTCGGGGGGCGCAGGCCCCGGCTCCCCATTTGCAGCCAGGCCCGGAAACGGGTCCCGTTAGAGCCGATTTCACCCGTCAGGAATGCGCTCCGCCCCCGCCGCCCGCGGCGTCCCCCCGCGGCCGGGGCCGGGGAAGTCAGTGCCGAGGGGAGCGCCGCCCCGGCCCGTCACCACCCCGCAGGGGGGCCGCCCCCGGACGGCCCGCACGGGGCTCGGGCGGCTCCAACGCTCCGCCCCGGGCCGCGGCCACCCGGGCGCCAATGCTGGGCCGGGCGGCGGGCGCGGAACTAGACCGAGGCCTGACCCCGGCCCCGCGCGGAGCACCGGCGGGGGCGCCTCTCCCGAGGCGTTTCCGAATCCATTTCCGACTCCGGGGAGGTGCGCGAAGCAGCGGGGGCCAGGGCGCATCGGATCGGAAGCGGG